GTTATTATATATTTATAAAAAAAATGTAATTTATATATTTATTTTCAATTATATATTTTTTTTAATTATATATTTATTACATATAATAAAAAAATATTTATAATTATAATAAAAAAATATATATATTTTTTAATATATAAAAAAAATGTAATTTTTTTCAATATATTTTTTTTAAATGCATGTTACAGCAGCAACCCAAAAGCGCTGGAGGACAACTTTTTGATGTGCATATTGTATCTCCTATAAAATGTGTTTTGGTTGAAATATTTTTTAGTTTGTTTTAATAAACGGTTACACTGTGGCAGATGGGCGCTCTCTCTCTTTTTTCTACCATCAAGTGGAATTGTTGGGGAGCTGCACCGCCTTCCCATGGACTTATCCCACGGACGGCCCTTTTCTAACCAGCCATTGGTTCCTCGGATCAGAGCGCTAGTTTTTTACTTGTATATAAATCTTTCATGAAAACCCGATGCCAGTATTTCCCCTTCGATGTAAAATGGACGGTTCATATTTGGACCATGGAACAGAACGGAAGCATCAACACGGGAAAGGACAGGAAAACTTTATTTACAGGTTAGAATTTACAAATGTCAATGTACAAAGGAGTTCTTACATAATCATAACACAGCGGAGGGCTCGGGGAGATCTGAACATTCAGATTTGAAGCTTCGCCTAAAAAAGCAATAATCCTGCTGAATCTGCACTGTGACTTTAGGCCAAAATTTTGGACTTTTTGTTCAATTTCCATCTCACTGACAACGGACACCAGGACAAAAGGGGGATGATGATGATTAGAGGGGGGGGGGGTGAGGTGTAGTCTCCCCAATCAGGACACAGACATTAATAAAAACCCAAAAGAACTGCTGACCCACTCCATTCCATCCATGCCTGCCAAGTCAGCCATATGGAGAGGTCGTGGTTGTGCCAAGCCAACTCATCCATGCATGGAGGGGCACAGCCATGCCAAGCTGACCAAAATAAGGCAGGGCTTTGCCAAGCCAACCATGCATGAAAGGTGCCGGAATCCTGAGCCAGCCATATATGGAAGCCGGCAGCTGTGCCAAGCCAAACATGCATGGGTGCAACCGTGCCAAGTGGACCGTTCATGGAAGGGCAAAAGCAATGCTGAGCATGCATGGAGGGATGCAAGTGTGCCAAGCCAGCTATATATGGAGGGCATGACGTGGTGAGCCATGTATGGAAGGACAACACCGTGTGGTCCATAAAGAACATGCATGGAGGGATGGAGGTGTGCCAAGCCAGCTATATATGGAGGGCATGACATGGTGAGCCATGTATGGAAGGACAACACCGTGTGGTCCATAAAGAGCATGCATGGTGGGATGGAGGTGTGCCAAGCCAACCATATGTGGAGGGCATGACATGGCAAGCCAACCATGTATGGAAGGACACCATCTTGCAGTCCATAAAGAACATGCATGGAGGGATGGAGGTATGCCAAGCCAACCATATGTGGAGGGCATGACATGGCGAGCCAACCATGTATGGAAGGACACAATCATGCAGTCCATAAAGAACATGCATGGAGGGATGGAGGTGTGCCAAGCCAGCTATATATGGAGGGCATGATGTGGTGAGCCATGTATGGAAGGACACCACCGTGTGTTCCATAAAGAGCATGCATGGAGGGATGGAGGTGTGCCAAGCCAACCATATGTGGAGGGCATGATGTGGCGAGCCAACCATGTATGGAAGGACAATGGTGCGGTCCATAAAGAGCATGCATGGAGGGATGAAGGTGTTCCAAGCCAGCCATATATAGAGGGGCACAGGCGTGCGGAGCTGACCATGCCAAGCCATACAGTCAAAGGGCACAGCATGCCAATCTGGCTATACAGAGAGGGATTTGGGTATTCCTAAATGAGTGCATACAACCCCTCAGTTCACCCAAGATCACACGGGCATTATTCAGTCCCTGTTACTACCGGTGAGACGGTACACCATGGCAGCAATTATTTTCTGCCCTATCAGATGTAGAAAATGTAACCCCCCCCCCCACTCAGTCTCGGTTTTAGGGCATGCTACGTGATCCATTACACCTGAACTTGACAGTGTACACAGCTCCTGTCCTCACCAGCTCCGGCCCACACCAGCTCCGGCCCACCAAGACAGTAACAGCATTTGGTGCACAAAGGTTTTTTTTTCCATCCCCTATGGTTACTATGCTGGGCCCGGCGGTCAGCGTCAATGATGCACAGCTATGGCCTTTCCGGATTTTTATGTATCGGCATTTAATTTATTTGCAGTCAATGACCAAATATAAACAGCTACCATTGAAAAAATGTCAGCCACAAAGCAGATTTTTTTTTTTTTTTTGAGAAATGCATAGCAAAGTATGCAAAGGGGGAGATGGATGAAAACTGGAGCGTGCAAAATCTGCTGCAGCTCCGCATAGAAACCAATGAAGCTTTGACAATAAAACCTGGAAGCTGATTGATCAAGCTGAGGTCAGAAGCCGATTGGCTACCATGCAGGTACCGCAACCCCAATGTGTCCCTCTCACAGGGCAGAATAGTCGGCCGATTGTGCGCTGATAGTTTTGGCATCAGATTAAAAATATTCAGGTTAAGGGGGGGGGGGGGGGGTCACATTCAAAATCCAAAATGACCTGGAACAAAACACACCATTGCCAGTACAAACAGAACAAGTACAAAAGGGTCACGAACAAGGTGCATTGTGGGTGTAGGGCACAAGATAACAGCCTCTGCAAGTAACCCTCCAATGCACGGGGGATGGGATTACAGAGATGGGGGGGCACCTTTGCAATGTAATGGGGTAATGGCAGAAAGTTAAACCCCAATGGGGTTAGGCATGGGGGTGAGATTTTGAAGTGTGTGTGTGTGGGGGGGGGGGCACATGTCACCTCTGCACCTGGGTAAATTTAATATCACCTCTAATGGGTAAAAAAAAAAAAAATGCAAATCCAGGGGCCCAGGGTTACAAGATTTTTTTTTTTTGGGGGGGGGGGGGGGGGTGGGGGGCTCACCTGTGCACTTGGGTAGAATATTCCAATCCAGGGTTACAAGGATGGGGTCACCTCTGCAATGGGGTGAAATATTCCACTCCATAGGCCAGTTTTACAAGATTTGGGGGGGGGGGGGGGGGGGGGGTTGTTGAGGCACGAGTTCTCCTCTGCAATGGGGTGAAATATTCCACTCCATTGGCCAAAGCTACAAGGATACGGGGGGAAGGGTTTACCCTCTGCATTGTGGTATATTAATCCAATCCAGGGGGAAAAGGGTTAAAAGGATGAGGGGGGGGGGGTCACCTGTGCACTGGAGTAGAATAGTCCAATCCAGGCTTACAAGGATGGGGGTGGGGTCACCTCTGCAATGGGGTAAAATATTGCACTCCATGGGACAGAGTTACAAGGATGCGGTGGGGGGGTTCCCATCTGCAATGGGTCTATTAATCCCATCCAGGGGGAAAAGGTTATAAGAATTTTGGGGGGGTTTACCTCTGCAAAGGGGTAAAATATTCCACTCGGTAGGAACAGAGTTACAAGGATGGGGGAGGGTTCTCCTCTGCATTGGGGTATAAATCCAATCCAGGAGGGAAAGGGTTACAAGGATTGGGGGGGGGGTCACCTGTGCAATGCAGTAGAATATTCCAATCCAGGGGGCACAAGGTTACAAGGATGGGGGGGAGGAGGTAAAATACTCCAATCCTGGGGGGGGTTGGAAGTGTTACAAGGATATTGGGGGGTTACCTCTGCAATGGGTAAAAATATCCCACTCTATGGAACAGAGTTACAAGGATGGGGGGGGGGGGGATTCCCCTCTGCATTAGGGTATAAATCCAATCCAGGAGGGAAAAGGTTACAAGGATTTGGGGGGGGGGGGGGGGGCAGGGTGTCACCTCTGCACTGGGGTGAAACATTCCAAACATGTGTGACAAGGAAGGGGGTTACAAGGATATTGGGGGGCTACCTCTGCAATGGGGTAAAATATTCCACTTCAGGGGCACACAGTCAGGAGGAGAGGGGTTCAGCATCACCTCTGCATTGGGGTAAAAAACTCCAATCCAGGGGCACCGGGTTACAAGAATGGAGGGGGGGGGGGGGGTCACCAGCAATGATTGTTTAATGCTACAATTTTGTACAGCAAAAATACAAAAAAAAAAATTCCTAAAAATAGCAGCAAAAATTTCACGCGGCAAATACATGGAATCGTTCCATCGATCCGCCCGTGCTGAGAAAGTGCTCAAAGTTGAACAGACAAAAAAAACAAACAAAAAAAAGGTCACAATAAAAATGTACCGAGGTACAAAGTTCCACAACCTCGCGCCGAGCCGCCTCCCTACATCCCGGATATTGGAACCAGAATATCATATAATACACATTTACATAAAAAGGAAACGACCGTATTAGTACAATCCGTTGAATTTCAACTAAAAAAAAAAAGAAACTACTTCAGTAAATTTTTATAGAAAAGCGTCACATTATATAAAGACAGCCGCGGTGTTTGTGTGTTTTTATTGGGACGCCGTCGCGCGAGCAGCGCGACCTCTTGGCGCACTAACTATGCGTTTAGCTTGATTTTTTAGAACCTTACCCCTATAGAGGCCAACGTGTGCAGGTCCTAGATGGACATAAAACACTAATAAAACCACATCGCCCCTAAAAAAACGCCCAACGTGCGGCATCAGGACCGCCAGGTAACACCCAACAAAGGTGATTTTTGGCAGCGGGGGGGGGGGTCAGACGTGGTACCGAAAGCTCTGCAGGTGCTGCCGTCGGTATGGCAGGTCGGACTCTTCCTCACGGCTTTGAAGTGAATCAAGATCAGCCGTCATTTGTGGCGTTTTCTAGGAAAAGTGTAAAAACAAGAAAAAAAACAAAACAAAAAATCGGCAACGATGCTCCTGGGTCGGCGTATTCGGAAAAGGTAACAAAAAATGCTAAGCACGTTAAAAAAAAAAAAAAGAAAAAAAATCTTAACAAGATCATCAGTCCAGCGCGCGCGCAGTCCATACTTCGGTCAATATATCGTCAGGCTGACCGATCGGTTCATTTTTTTTTCCTATGAGGCGGGCGGCTCTGCCGCTTTGCGCCGTCGATCGTGTGTGGTCATTCTGTCGGGACACAAGGCTCGCTCCTCCGCTGCGGCTTTCGCTATCTGTGCTTTCTTCAGTTCCCTGCAGGAGGAGATTAGCACAAGGATCAGTGCGCCTCACAGATAAAAGATTTATTTGTAGAACATTTGTATGTAAACAAAATACAAAGAGCAGATGCAGCGACACCAGTGCAGCGGAGCTCCGCCTACAATGACTCATCATTTTTGATCAACCGTTCTTTCAGGTACTTCTATAGCACTGGCAATTTACATATATATTGTACATTCCCATCAGTCCCCGCCCCCGAGGAGCGTACAATCTAAGGTCCCTAACTCACATTCATACATACACATACTAGGGACAATTTAGACAGGAGCCAATTAACTTACCAGCATGTCTTTGGAGTGTAGGAGGAAACCGGAGTACCTGGAGGAAAGCGAAGTACCTGGAGGAAACCCACGCAGGGACAGGTAGAACATGCAAACTCCAAGCAGGTGGTGCCGTGTTGAGATTCAAACCAACAACCCCAGTACTGCCAGGCGGAAGTGCTGACCATTTAGCCCCTGTGCTGCCCAGACACACACGTATTGAGGAGACGGACAGCCACTTCCGCAAAACCCCATCAATGGCAGGAGGGGGGCGAGGAGCGCAGGAAGGGGGGGGGGGGGCGAGGAGCGCAGGAAGGGGGGGGGGGGGGCGAGGGGCGCAGGAACGGGGGGGGAGGGCGAGGGGCGCAGGGGGGGGGGGCGGGGAGGGCGAGGAGCGCAGGAAAGGGGGGGAGGGCGAGGGGGAAGGGGGGGGGAGGGCGAGGAGCGCAGGAAAGAAGGGGGGGGGGGGGAGGGCGAGGAGCGCAGGAGAAGGGGGGGGAGGGCGAGGGGGGGGGGGGGGGGGAGGGCGAGGAGCGCAGGGGGGGGAAAGGGGGGGGGGGGGAGGGCGAGGAGCGCAGGAAAGGGGGGGGGAGGGCGAGGAGCGCAGAAAGGGGGGGGGGGGGAGGGCGAGGAGCGCAGGAGCGCAGGAAAGGGGGGGGGGGAGGGCGAGGAGCGCAGGAAAGGGGGGGGGAGGGGCGAGGAGCGCAGGAAAGGGGGGGGGGGGCGAGGAGCGCAGGAAAGGGGGGGGGGGAGGGCGAGGAGCGCAGGAAAGGGGGGGGAGGGCGGGGGGAGGGCGAGGAGCGCAGGAAAGGGGGGGGGGGAGGGCGAGGAGCGCAGGAAAGGATGGGGGGGGGGGGGGAGGGCGAGGAAGCGCAGGAAGGGGGGGGGGATGCAGGAAAGGGCGAGGATGGGTCGAGGAGCGCAGGAAAGAGGGGGGGGGGGAGGGCGAGGAGCGCAGGAAGGGGGGGGGGGGGCGAGGAGCGCAGGAAAGGGGGGGGGGGGAGGGCGAGGAGCGCAGGAAAGGGGGGGGGGGAGGGCGAGGAGCGCAGGAAAGGGGGGGGGAGGGCGAGGAGCGCAGGAAGGGGGGGGGGGAGGGCGAGGAGCGCAGGAAAGGGGGGGGAGGGCGAGGAGCGCAGGAAAGGGGGGGGGGGGGCGAGGAGCGCAGGAAAGGGGGGGGGAGGGCGAGGAGCGCAGGAAAGGGGGGGAGGGCGAGGAGCGCAGGAAAGGGGGGGGGGAGGGCGAGGAGCGCAGGAAAGGGGGGAGGGCGAGGAGCGCAGAGCGCAGGAAAGGGGGCGCGAGGAGCGCAGGAAGGGGGCGCGAGGAGCGCCAGGAAGGGGGCGCGAGGAGCGCAGGAAGGGGGCGCGAGGAGCGCAGGAAGGGGGCGCGAGGAGCGCAGGAAGGGGGCGCGAGGGAGCGCAGGAAGGGGGCGCGAGGAGCGCAGGAAGGGGGCGCGAGGAGCGCAGGAAGGGGGCGCGAGGAGCGCAGGACTCCGTATTCAGCCTCTGGTTGCTGGATGCAGACACTCACTTTTGCAGAAGAGCGTTTTTGAACCTCTCAGCATTGAGTTCTATTCGGAGTTGCTCGGCACTCTTGCGGGACGCAGAAAGGAGCAGCAGCCCGGGTGTTTGACGAGGGCCACAGAGGACGGCCTTTTCGCTGGATCCGGGGAAATCATTAGCTGAAGGAAAAAGAAAAATGTCAGTTACAGAGTATAGGTTTTTAACCCCTCGCCCTCCAGAGGATCCACCCCCCCCCCCCCATTCCTGACCAGGCCATTTTTTTTGCAATCTGACATGGTAACTTTAACTGACAATTGCGCGGTCATGCAACGCTGCACATAAATGAAATGCCCTTTTTTGTCCCCACAAACAGAGCTTTCGGTGGTATTTGATTGCCTCTGCATTTTTTATTGTGTTAAAAAAAAAAAAAAAAAGAAAAGACTTTTTTGCTATAAAAAAAAAAATCCAATAAAATAAAATAAAAAAATAAAAAATTTCTTCATAAATTTAGGGCAAAATGCCTCCCGCTCCGTGTCTTTGCTAAAAAGAAAAAAAAAGCCCAATACCTGTAAATTGGTTAGCGTGAAAGTTATAGTGCCTACAAATGGCGGTGTAGATACGGGGATTTTTTTTTTTTTTTTTTTTTGTAATACTAGTAATGGCAGTGATCGCTGACTTATAGCGGGACTGTGGCAGCATTCTGCACTGGGGGGGGGGGGGGGGGGGAATTGACTTGGTGTCACCGACACCCCAGTGATCAGTGCTAATAAAAAGCCCTGACTGTACTAATGGCGCCGGGCAGGAAGGGGTTTAACATGTGGAGCCATCAAAGGGTTACCTGTGTGCCATGTGTTGGGAGACATGCTGTGCAGAGAGATACAAAGCAGCATGTCCTTGCTGACAGGGTACAGACACAGGTCTCTCCCGTCAGTTTTACACAGCGATCGCCGAGTGCTGGCTGGGACCTGGTGAAAGACATCCCTAGCTGCCAATGGCGGCGCGCGCTCCTTACACGACTTTGCGCAGCCCTGCTTCTGCTATAGGGTGGGGCGGGGCTGTTATGGGGGGGGGGGGGGGGGTTGGAGTGCTTAAAATCTTATAAAAACAGATTTGGGGTCTCTTTCCATAAAGAGGACCTTGTCATGCCTTATTCCTATACTAGGGATGTTTACATTTCTTGTAATAGGGCTAAAAGTGAAAAGGGACAGTGTAAAAAAAAAAAGAAAATCAAAAAAAGGAAAAAAAAAGAAAAACAAAAAGGAATAAAAAAAAGAAAAAAAACAAAAAGGAATAAAAAAGAAAACAAAAAGAAAAAAAAAAAAAAAAAAAAAAAAAAAAAAAGAAAAAAAAAGGAAAAAAAAAAAAAAAAAAAGAGAAAAAAAAAAAAAAAACAAAAAAAAAAAAAAAAAAAAAAAAAAAAAAAAAAAAAAGAGCCCCCCCCCCCCCCCCACCGCCTCCCCCCCCCCCCCCCCCCCCCCCCCCCCGTTTTAAAACAAAGCACACAAGGCGCGTCCAACTCCTCCGAGTGCTTCTATTCAACCCAACAACCTGCAGCCAAATCCGTCACTTACCTTCATGAGATCCATCATCTCCTGGGACAGAACTTGGGGCACGGTGGGCAACCTGCCTTGCCTGATTTCATGCCACTGGTCTCCGTTTGAAGGGAGGGGGTCGGTATGGTACGGCAGCGCACCAGACGGTCAGTGCCAGGGCGAATATGTCTGCCTTCGGCAAATGGGAGTAGTCCTCGGGAGAGATTGGAACGGTCAGAGTCCCCACCCCCGCGGTGCGCACAGCCCTCCCCATCGCTGAATTGGTCATTTCATTATTTTACTTGTGTTTGGACATCAAACCTCAACTCTTCAGGCCGGATGACAGCGGAACGCGCTGCGGGAAAGGTACGTTTCCTGCGGCGAGCTCAAAACGCAACGCATTTGCTTTCTGCCGAGGGGACTGATGTATTAACAGCATCCCAGTGTGTTTGCAGCCGCCGAATCACATGGTACCTCAGCAACGCGCGATTTGGTGTGACGCTACTCTGTGTGGCCCGCTGCGATTTCCAGCCCATTCAAACTAGTGGGCTGCCAAATCCCCCCCCCCCCCCCCCCCCCCGTATGCACGCCGCAATTCCAGTGCGAACCGGTCCACGCGGGGTCTCTACGGCTCTCCTGTACACTGTCTTCCGAAATATACAACTACGTTTTTTAAAATTGCCATTAGCAACAAATCTCCACATCTTAGGATTCATCCAGGATTCTTTTTTATGCTTTTTTAGGCAATGACCCCACCCCATATGACATCAATGGTCACATGGGGTGGGGTCACGTGGTGGCCCCACCCCTTACATATTTAAGAGCTGTCAAACCACCAGAGCAGGCAGGGAGCATTGTCAGGAGCGGAGCTTTTTTTTTTTCCCCCCCTATTCGGGTAGCAGCAGCGGCGGGCATCGTGATTGACATTGGATCTACTGCGGGGGACACTGGATCTACTGCGGGGGGACAACTGGATCTACTGCGGGGGACACTGGATCTACTGCGGGGACACTTTTTCTTTTAATAAAGGACTTCTCACAGACCGTGTCCTGTCTTTTTTCCCACTACACTGTTTTTTGTGTATGAGTAGGGGTACCATGTACCCCATACTCATACACATGGGGGAGGGGGGTGGGGCGGGATCTGGGGGGCCCCATTGTTAAAGGGGGCTTCCAGATTCCGATAAGCCTCCTGCCCGCAGACCCCCCACAACCACCGGCTAGAGGCCTTTTGTCGCCATCAACCTGGGGACAAGGTGCTTCGGGGGGAGAGCCCCCCTGCCCTAAAGCACCCCCCCCCCATGTTGAGGGCATGTGGCCTGGCATGGTTCAGGAGGGGGGGGCGGCGTTCGTGCCCTTCCCCCCCTCCTTTTCTGACCTGCATGCTCAGATAAGGGTCTAGTATGGATTTTTTTTTTTTTTTTTAATTTTGGCATGGGAGTTCCCTCAAAATCCATACCAGACCCGAAGGGCTTGATATGGATGGGAGGGGGGAACCAAAGCCTTTTTTTTATTTTTTTATTATTATTATGGTGCCGGTTTTTAAAATGTAATTACCTCTTTTTTACCCCCTTCACTATAGCTCAGAAATTCAGCTGTCACTTCCCCCCCCAGCTAAAAGAAAGCTCCAGGAAATTAAAAAAACTAAGAGAAACAAAAGTTGCCATTTAGTTTCCTAAAAAGAACAAAAAAAAGTTTCCTAAAAAGAAAAAACCAAAAAAAAAAAAAGTTTCCTAAAAAGAAAAACCAAAAAAAAAAAAAAAGTTTCCTAAAAAGAAAAACCAAAAAAAAAAAAGTTTCCTAAAAAAGAAAAACCAAAAAAAAAAAGTTTCCTAAAAAGAAAAACCAAAAAAAAAAAAGTTTCCTAAAAAGAAAAACCAAAAAAAAAAAAAAGTTTCCTAAAAAGAAAAAACCAAAAAAAAAAAAAAAAGTTTCCTAAAAAGAAAAAACCTAAAAAAAAAAAAAAAAGTTTCCTAAAAAGAAAAACCAAAAAAAAAAAAAAAAAGTTTCCTAAAAAAAAAAACCAAAAAAAAAAAAAGTTTCCTAAAAAGAAAAACCAAAAAAAAAAAAAAGTTTCCTAAAAAGAAAAAAAAAAAAAAAAAAGTTTCCTAAAAAGAAAAAACCAAAAAAAAAAAAGTTTCCTAAAAAAGAAAACACCAAAAAAAAAAAAAGTTTCCTAAAAAGAAAAAAAAACCAAAAAAAAAAGTTTCCTAAAAAGAAAAACCAAAAAAAAAAAAAGTTTCCTAAAAAGAAAAAAAAAAAAAAAAAAAGTTTCCTAAAAAGAAAAAACAAAAAAAAAGTTTCCTAAAAAGAAAAACCAAAAAAAAGTTTCCTAAAAAGAAAAACCAAAAAAAAAGTTTCCTAAAAAGAAAAACCAAAAAAAAAAAAAAAGTTTCCTAAAAAGAAAAACCAAAAAAAAAAAAAGTATCCTAAAAAGAAAAAAAGAAAAAAAAAAAAAAAAAAAAAAAAGTTTCCTAAAAAAGAAACAAAAAAAAAAAAAAGTTTCCTAAAAGAAACAGTTTTTCCGTTAACTCCGGGGAAAGTGACAGCCAATTCTGTGATCCAAGTGAAGGAAAAAAAAAAAAAAAAAAAAAAAAAAAGGAAGGCAACTGCATTTAAAAAAAAATCGCCAACGTACACTTCGTGTTGCGAACAAAAAAATCGTAAACGGAGGCATTATTCTACAAAACACTTACTTCTTGTAAGACTTCATTGGCCAGGAACCGGCAGTCGCCTTCCTCCACCTGAGGACTGGATATCCTGGTCACATGACCCAGGTCACCTGTTCAAACAGAAGCAGAATGGAGCCATTTAGATCCATGAGAATCGGCCCCCACCATGATAGAACGAAGGTCACTTCCGCCACGCACTGGAACCACTGGAACCACGCTTGTTCAATGTAGAATATTTGGGTTCCGATTCAAACATCTGGGCATCTTCAGAAATGAAGCCATTGGAGAGCTCACCTATTTTATAAATCACTTTCTGAGGGCCGCAATCTTCATCGTCCACTTCTTCTATGATGGAGCTCGGCACCACCGTCCGGGATATGAAGATGTTACCTGAAGGGAGAGAAGAGCGCAAATTCACCGACGTCTGTCTACAACAGCCTCTCCCACCCGGTTTCTGGGGAGCCTTGGGGTTCCGGGGGGGTTCTGTCAGGTTGTAGGAGCTCCTTGAGCAATAAAAGTCCCAGTAACCACTGATCTCCATTATCTTTATGGGGGGGGGGGGGCGCAGATTTTCCACTGGTCAGCAACGCATGGGTCGCCCCTTTCACATGAGCCAGATCAGTTTGCAGATCCACTGCTGATTGAAGTAGAGTGGATGACAGGTCTCTGTCATGGGCAGCTGGGTGTAAACGGACAATGCTGTCTGTTTACACCCGACTTCCCTCCAATCCACCTAATTGAGAGGATGGGACCCCTTCCCATGTTTTCGGTGAACTGGATTAGACCCAGACCTGTCCATAGGGATGAATAGATCATCCAATCTGGTCCACCTGAAAAACCAAAAAAGCGGGCCTGATCGGATTGCCCGTGAGAAAGGGGGCTTAGGTCAGGGCTCGACAAATCTCAGGCGCCAGGTTGCCACGGCGACGAGAAACCGCATCCAGGTGCCTGGGCCTCCGCCCAGCCCACGCTTCCCCATCTACGTCCTCGGTCGGCCCCTCTCCCCCACCCTACAGAGCGGAGCCCAGAATCCCCCCCCCCTATCCCCCACCATACACAGAGTCCAGGCGAAGCCCTCCAGTGCACACCTCTCCTGGACAAGGAACCCCCCCCGAACCCCAAGGACACTGCAGGCCTGCCCCCCAAACAGCTCCCTGGCCTCCCCCAGTCCACACTCTACCATCCACATCTCAGTCAGTCGGCCCCTCTCCCTATAGAGCGGAGCCCAGAATCCCCCCTATCCCCCCACCATACACAGAGTCCAGGCGAAGCCCTCCACCAGTGCACACCTCTCCTGCACAAGGACCCCCCCACTGCAGGCCTGCCCCCATTAAACAGCTAGAACCACCGCGGTAATAACCACGTTAACCCTTTATGCCGCCCGCGTGGCGGTTTTGCACCTTTGCTCACTTCCAGCTGGATTGGAGTAATAACGACTGACTGCAGGCCTCAATTCTGAAGGCTCAGGGCTAACTTTTGTAAAACACGAATATATAATAATACAAAATACATAAATACAAGAAGTCAATAAATACGAAGAAACCGAAGACGGCCGAGTGAGGCTGGAGGACGACAAGCAGAATCATGCAACGGGACACTTACTTGGCTTGATGTCCATATGGACCAGAGCCATGGAATGGATGTACTTCAATCCTCGGGCCACTTGTAGGAGAAGGAACTTCAATTCCGGCTCAGTGAAGTAGCGCATATTGCGGTAGTTTTCACTAATGGAATCCGCTAAACTGCCACCTGCGGAGAGGACAGAGACGGGGGCGTTACACAGAGCCTACAGAGACCGGGGCGTTACACAGAGCCTACAGAGACCGGGGCGTTACACAGAGCCTACAGACAGGTTTGTTGTTTTTTTTTTGTACAGAGACAGGTTTGTTGGTTTTTTTTTTGTACAGAGACAGGTTTGTTGGTTTTTTTTTTTTTTTTTGTACAGAGACAGGTTTGTTGGTTTTTTTTTTTGTACAGAGACAGGTTTGTTGGTTTTTTTTTTGTACAGAGACAGGTTTGTTGGTTTTTTTTTTTGTACAGAGACAGGTTTGTTGGTTTTTTTTTTGTACAGAGACAGGTTTGTTGGTTTTTTTTTTGTACAGAGACAGGTTTGTTGGTTTTTTTTTTGTACAGAGACAGGTTTGTTGGTTTTTTTTTTTGTACAGAGACAGGTTTGTTTTTTTTTTTTGTACAGAGACAGGTTTGTTGTTTTTTTTGTACAGAGTTTGTTGTTTTTTTTGTACAGAGACGGGTTTGTTGTTTTTTTTTTGTACAGACGGGTTTTGTTTTTTTTTTGTACAGAGGACAGGTTTGGTTTTTTTTGTACAGAGACAGGTTTTTTTTTTTTTTTGTACAGAGACAGGTTTGGTTTTTTTTGTACAGAGACAGGTTTGGTTTTTTTTGTACAGAGACAGGTTTTTTTTTTTGTACAGAGACAGGTTGTTGTTTTTTTTTTGTACAGAGACAGGTTTGTGTTTTTTTTGTACAGAGACAGGTTTGGTTTTTTTTTTGTACAGAGACAGGTTTGTTGTTTTTTTTTTGTAGAGACAGGTTATTTTTTTTTTTTTACACAGAGCGTACAGACAGGTTAACAAATATAACAATAACACCCAACATCACAGAAAGTGCGAGTGGCCGGATTCCAGATGTCACTTTCTCAGCAGACGCCAGAAAAATTATGTAAACATCCAAGCGGCCGCTACACGCCGCGTCACTTTCTGGCTTGTTGGTATAACCGGAGAGTCGAGTAACCGCAGCAAACAGCATGCGATGGGAAGTTTACACAGCCGTGCCCAACTCCGCCATCAACTGATCTGTGTCACAAGTCAGACGTTGGAGAAAGTGTTCCATGTTCTACCGGTTCTGTAACATTCTCCTGGAGCAAACCGGACCTTCCACATTGCAGGCACTGAAACTGCCACATCCGTCCGACACAACCGAGGCCTCATTCACACGGGGATTCTCACCGCTTCCCCGCCGCCGTATAGCAGATACAGTGAAGGAAATGCGTATTTGCTCCCCGGCTGATGTTGAATGTTTGCCCCCTCACACAGAAATGATCGGTCTAACAATGGAATGTTCGCCCCTCACACAGAAATGATCGGTCTAACAATGGAATGTTCGCTCCCTCACACAGAAATGATCGGTCTAAACAATGGAATGTTTCGCCCCTCACACAGAAATGATCGCCCCTCACACAGGTCTAACAATGGAATGTTCGCCCCTCACACAGAAATGATCGGTCTAACAATGGAATGTTCGCCCCTCACACAGAAATGATCGGTCTAACAATGGAATGTTCGCTGTAACACTGAGAGACAGAATACAACAACAAATTCAGCAGAAATGCGTCTAACAAATGATGACGGATCTGCATGTTCATGAGGGAAAGAAGGATTTCATCCCCTTCACAAAACATGACTTAGTACTTGGTGGCCAATCCCTTGTTGGCAATCACAGAAGTCAGACGTTTGCTGGAGTTGGCCCCCCAGGTTCGCACACATCTCAGGAGGGATTTTGGCCCACTCCTCTTGGCAGATCCTCTCCAAGTCATTAAGGTTTGGTGGCTGACGTTTGGCAACTCGAACTTTCAGCTCCTCCACAGATTGTCAATCGGATGAAGGTCTGGAGACTGGCTAGGCCCTCCAGGACCTTAATGTGCTTCTTCTTGAGCCGCTCCTTTGTTGCCTTGGCCGTGTGTTTTGGGTCATTGTCATGCTGGAACACCCATCCACCACCCATTTTCAATGCCCTGACTGAGGGAAGAAGGTTCTCACCCAAGATTTGAGGGTACATTGCCCCGCCCATCGTACCTTTGATGCGGTGCAGTTGTCCTGTCCCCTTAGCAGAAAAAACACCCCCAAAGCAGAATGTTTCCACCACCATGTTTCACAGTTGGGATGGTGTTCTTGGGGTCATAGGCAGCATTCCTCCTCCTCCAAACACGGCGAGTTGAGTTGATGCCAAAGAGCTGGATTTTGGCCTCATCTGACACAACACTTCCCACCAGTCCTCCTCCGCATCATTCAGATGTTCAGTGGCAGACTTCAGACGGGCCTGGACATGGGCTTTCTTGAGCAGAGGGACCCGGTGCGGGCACTGCAGGATTTCAGTCCTTGTCGGCGTAGTGTGTTACCAATTGTTTTCTTGGTGACTGTGGTCCCAGCTGCCTGGAGATCATTGACAAGATCCTCACGTGTAGTTCTGGGATGATTCCTCACTGTTCTCATGATCATTGACACTCCACGAGGTGAGAATCTTGCATGGTGCACCAGACCTAGGGAGACTGACACTTGTTTTGTGTTTCTTCCATTTGTGAATGATTGCACCAACTGTTGTCACCTTCTCACCAAGCTGCTTGGCCATAGTTTGGTAGCCCAGTCCAGCCTTGTGTAGGTCTACCATCTTGTCCCTGACATCCTTGGACAGCTCTTTGGTCTTTGCCATGGTGGAGAGTTTGGAATCTGATGGTTTGATTGCTCCTGTGGACAGGTGTCTTTTATACAGGTAACAAAATGAGATTAGCAGCACTCCCTTTAAGAGACTGCTTCTAATCTCAGCTTGTTACCTGTATGAGAGACACCTGGGAGCCAGAAATCCTGCTGAATGATAGGGGATCAAATCCTTCTTTCCCTCATGAACATGCAGATCAGTCATTATTATTATACAGTATTTATAAAGCGCCGATAGTTCGCTCAGCGCTGTACATTACAAAGGGGGGACAGAACATGTGACAGAACAATAACAAATACAATGTGATACACGAGGGGATCGAGGGCCCTGCTCCTTGGAGCTTACAATCTAGGAAGGAGGGGATGGTGGTACAGGAGGAGATAGCTGTGGGGGATGGAGTGGTAGGAAGAGTGGAGGAGGTCGGGAATTAGCAGGGGGTGGGGTAGGCTTCCCTGAAGAGGTGGGTTTTCAGGGTGCGCCTAAAGGAGAGGAGAGTAGGTGATAGTCTGATGGATTGGCATAGGGAGTTCCAGAGGATGGGTGATGATGCCCTGGAGGCGGGCATGGGAGGAGGAGACCAGGGAACTAGAGAGAAGGAGGTCCTGTGAGGAGCGGAGTGTGCGTGTTGGGTGGTACTTGGATATTAGGTCGGTGATGTAGTTCGGGGCAGTATGGTGGACGGCTTTGTACGTCAGTGTTAGGATTTTGAATTTGATCCGTTGGGCAATCGGAAGCCAGTGGAGGGATTGGCAGAGGGGGGGTGAAGGTCAGTGGAGGGATTGGCAGAGGGGGTGGAGGTCAGTGGAGGGATTGGCAGAGGGGGGTGGAGGACACTGAGTGGAGGTCAGTGGAGGGATTGGCAGAGGGGGGTGGCGGAGATGGAGCGGTTGGAAAGGTGAATGAGTCTGGCAGCCATATTCAGGATGGACTGAAGCGGGGATAGCCAGCGGCGAGGCAGGCCAGTGAGGAGGGAGTTGCAGTAGTCGAGTCGTGATATGATGAGGGAGTGGATGAGCTGTTTTAGTGGTTTCTGGGGTTAGGAACGTGCGGATTTTGACCATGTTGCGGAGGTGGAGTCGGCCTGCTGCGGAGGTGGAGTCGGCCTGCTGCGGAGGTGGAGTCGGCCTGCTGCGGAGGTGGAGTCGGCCTGCTGCGGAGGTGGAGTCGGCCTGCTGCGGAGGTGGAGTCGGCCTGCTGCGGAGGTGGAGTCGGCCTGCTGCGGAGGTGGAGTCGGCCTGCTGCGGAGGTGGAGTCGGCCTGCTGCGGAGGTGGAGTCGGCCTGCTGCGGAGGTGGAGTCGGCCTGCTGCGGAGGTGGAGTCGGCCTGCTGCGGAGGTGGAGTCGGCTGCTGCGGAGGTGGAGTCGGCCTGCTGCGGAGGTGGAGTCGGCCTGCTGCGGAGGTGGAGTCGGCCTGCTGCGGAGGTGGAGTCGGCCTGCTGCGGAGGTGGAGTCGGCCTGCTGCGGAGGTGGAGTCGGCCTGCTGCGGAGGTGGAGTCGGCCTGCTGCGGAGGTGGAGTCGGCCTGCTGCGGAGGTGGAGTCGGCCTGCTGCGGAGGTGGAGTCGGCTGCTGCTGCGGAGGTGGAGTCGGCCTGCTGCGGAGGTGGAGTCGGCATGCTGCGGAGGTGGAGTCGGCATGCTGCGGAGGTGGAGTCGGCATGCTGCGGAGGTGGAGTCGGCATGCTGCGGAGGTGGAGTCGGCATGCTGCGGAGGTGGAGTCGGCATGCTGCGGAGGTGGAGTCGGCATGCTGCGGAGGTGGAGTCGGCATGCTGCGGAGGTGGAGTCGGCATGTTGCGGAGGTGGAGTCGGCATGCTGCGGAGGTGGAGTCGGCATGTTGCGGAGGTGGAGGCGGCACAAGTTTGTTAGTGATTGGACTTGGGACTGGAAGGATAGATTGGAGTCCAGAATGACACCAAGTACTTTGGCCTGCAGGGCGGGCCTGATGGTGGCATTGTTGGACGTGATGGAGAAGTCAGTGGGGGGGGGGGGGGGGGGGGGGAATGACAATGACAGAACAAGCTAGACTGCTTCTGATTGGTCAGCACCCCCTATGTGATGCTGACCAATCAAAAACCCTCTGGCCCGAGCTGTTATCCCTGCAAGGAGAGGCAAGAAAGCAGCAGGAATTTCAAATCCCCAGACACCATGAAGCCGCTCTCTCTTCTTTCCTTCCAAAGATGACAGTACCAGCTAGACTGCTTCTGATTGGTCAGCACTCCCTATGTGATGATGCCGACCAATCAAAAGCCCAAGCTGTTATCCCTGCAAGGAGGAGGAGAGAAAGCTGCGGGGGATTTCAAATCCTCAGACCTGTGAAGCAGCTCTCTCCCCTTTCCTTGCAGGGATGACAGTACAGGCTAGACTGCTTCTGATTGGTCAGCACCCCCTATGTGATGATGCTGACCAATCAAAAGCCCTCTAGCCCGAGCGGTCATCCCTGCAAGGAGAGGCGAGAAAGCAGCAGGAATTTCAAATCCCGTGGCCTTCTCTCCTTTCCTCCCACTGAGAATCCGGAGCATCTGCCTCCAGGTATACATCCCCAGACATCGTCTCCCACTCTCCACATGGGATCGATGTAGGAAGGGTTTCCCGCACCTCTCCGTACTCGTGAACATATTTGGCCTCGGTGCCATTCCCTACTTTAAACGATAGGCGGACCTTAAATTTGAAGAGCCCGGTTGTGTTACTCACCATTGCAGTATTCGTTCTGAATCAGCATATGATCGTCTTCTGCCCACGCCGAGTAATATCGAACTACATGCGTGTGCTGACCCAGGACTGCGTGTGCGTACACTTCCCTCAGTGCGTTCTGCCTGCAAGAAAACCGAAGCCGTCACTAGACCTGCAGATTCCACCAATGAACAGATCCGGTGGCAGCCTTACCACTCCGGCTGTGACTTCTTACAGCGACAGCGAGGTGCGGCAAACGGCTGCTTTCCCGATTTAAGAGTCACAACGCCGGAGAACGCAAGTCTGGCCGAATCTGTTCTCCTCCCAAAAATGTCAGTTTGGGACAGAAGAGTCCGCCAACGATCCGTTCATGAAACTTACTCGTCAACGGAGCCGGCAAGAGGTTTCTTCGAGCGTTTGATGGCGTATATGCATCCGTCCAGCCGCTTCACGCACTTGTAGACCGCGCCAAACTGACCCGAGCCGATCTTCGTCAGCTCGTGGAACTCGATGGCGTAGCGGGATTTCATGTTACTTTCTGTAATTGTGATCCTCTGCAGGCCAAGAGACAAGAAGTCGAGGTCATGATGCGATTCCCTACACACCTCCTCCCTAGTATACCCCCCCCCCCCGGGGTCACATATATGTAGACGTGCGGGACGCGTTTTGCGCAGACACGAGAGCCCATTAATTTGCCCCGTGACAAGTCCCTGCACTTCTGAAAACGCAGCCCACATGGGAACCGAGTTGCGTTTTCCAGTGCTGGCGGCATGCCAATAGAACTAATGGCTCCCACCCGCAGGTCCGCATTCCTCTGTGCGGGTGGATTTTTTCACGCGCGGCCGCACCACCCGCACACATATGTGTGCCTAGCGCTACACATGAGGTTTTCATCTCGCCTAGGCAACAATTCCTCCCCACCCCATGCGTGTGCGCACATACATCACAGGGCACAGGTCCCGAGAGCCCTGCAGTACATCTGCACATGCACCGCTTCCCCTGGACATCCATGCATGTGTGGGGTTTCCCACATGGAAGAAAAATATATTTTAAATATATTTTAAAAATATTCTTCCCAAATATATTGCCATATATTTGAAATGCTACAATTTTGGCCGTACTCAATATATATATTTATAAAAAAAATAATATCTATATCTGTCTCGTGTTGAAATGCGTTATTACAAAATGTGAAAAATATTTTTAAAACTACATTTCAAATATACTGTAATGTCTTTAAAAATACAAATCTACATTTTTGGAAATGCATTTACAAATATATGTAAAAATATGTTAAATGTTAAAAAATCTAAATTATAATATAATATATATAGATAGATAAAAAAAATTTTTTTAAACATATTCAGATTTTTTTTTTTTTTTTACATATATTTTAAAATAAAAAAAAATCTTAATTTTTTAAATATTTTTTTAAATATATTCTTCAGATTTTTTTAACATAAAAAAAAGTCATTTTAACATATATTTGTAAATGCATTCCAAAAATGTAGATTTGTATTTTTAAGGACAAAGCATATTTGAAATGTAGTTTTTAAAAATATTCTTCCCAAATATATGCCATATATTTGAAAAAATGCTACAATTTTGCCTCATATCAATATATATTTTTTAAAAAAAAAAAATATCTAAATCTCTCGTGTTTGAAATGTGTTATTACAAAATATATGAAAAATTTTTAAAACTATATTTCAAATATACTGTATGCCTTTAAAAACACAAATCGATATTTTTGGAATGCATTTACAAATTTATTTTAATATATGTTAAAATTACATGCTAAAAAAAAAATCTGATATATATTTTAAAAAGTTTTTTTTTTTTTATATTCAGATTAATTTTACATATATTTTAAAATGGCTTATGTAAAAGAAAAAAAAAAAAAAATCTGAATTTAACTAGTTGCCAACCGCAGATAGCCGAATGACGGCTGCACTGCGCGGGCCGGCCAGTTCTGAGTGGACGTCATATGACGGCCTCCCAGAATGCGCTCTCCTGCGCCGCACCCAGGGGGGCGCGCATCCCCCGGCGATCTCCGTGATCGCTGTGTCCTACGGACACAGCTGATCACGTGATGTGGTAAAAGGCCGATCACAGCGGCCTTTTAACCACGTGATCAGCGGTGTCCAATTGACACGCTGATCACAGGGAAATGCAAGTGCCGGTTCTCAGCTGCACTTTCCTCACGCTGTCAGATCGTGAGGAAAGTACTGCTGAGAACCGGCAGTTGTCAGAGCGAGGATCGGCACCGATCAGTGCCCTGATGATCGGTGCCCAGCAGTGCCACCCGCAAAGTTTCCGCCCACCTGTGCCCAGCAGTGCACCCACCTGTGCCACTCTGCAGTGTCACACCTGTGCCCAGAAGTGCCACCCACACCTGTGCCCACCAGTGCCACCCACCTTTGCCCACCCACCTGTGCTGCCCACCAGTGCCACCCACCAGTGCAGCCCAGCAGTGCTGCCAGTCAGTGCCACCAGTCAATGCCCAGGGGTTGTGTCAGTCAGTGCCGCCAGTCAGTGCCCAGCAGTGATGCCAGTCAGTTGCCATCTATCAATTTACCCATCAGTGTCACCTATCAGTGCTGCATATTAGTGCCGCCTATCCGTGACACCTCATTAGTGCTGCCTATCAGTGCCCTTTAGTGCCTCCTATCAGTGCCCATCAGTGCTGCCTCATCAACGTACATCAGTGAAGGAGAAAAAATACCTGTTTGAAAAATTTTATAACAGAAACAAAGAAATTGTTTTTTTTTTTTTTTCAAATTTTTTGCACTTTTTTTATTTATAGCGCAAAAAGTAAAGTGCCCAGCAGCGATTAAATACCACCAAAAGAAAGCTCTATTTGTGAGAAAAAAAATGATCAAAATTTCATATGGGTACAATGTTGCATGACCGCGCAATTGTCAAAGTGCGGCAGCGCTGAAAGCTGAAAATTGGCCTGGTAAATAAGGGGGTAGAAGTGCCTGGTAGGCAAGTGGTTAAAAAAAAAAAAAAAAAAATTCAATTATTTTTTTTTAAATATATTCTTTAGATTTTTTTTAGCATAAAAAAGTCATTTTAACACATATTTGTAAATGCGTTCCAAAAATGTAGATTTGTATTTTTAAAGACATGCAGTACATTTGAAATGTAGTTTTAAAAATATTTTTCATTTTGTAATAAAAACGCATTTCAACACGAGAATATCTATATAGATCTTATATATTTTTTTTATATTATATTTTTATTTTCTGCACATTGTACTGCGTTTTGCGGACTGCTTTTGGGTGATAACATACCCCCCCGCAGGCGGTTTGCATGAATGGGCGTGGTTCTGATGCAGTGCGGAATTCGCACAGACAAGGCTACAAATGTCGCACCGCATCAGTGTGAACCCGGGGGCTGAGGGCCAGAAGCTGAGGGCCAGAGGGCTGAGGGCCAGAGGGCCTGAGGGCCAGAAGGCTTGAGGGCCAAAGGCGGTGGGAAGGGGTTGATGTCTGCCCAATCTTACTACAACGCTGAATTACCTTCGCCGGCCTGATCCCATCATCCAACTCTCCATCGCTTTCCCTCCATCACTTCCCCGTCCGAACTAAAGAAAAAAACAAAAAGAAAATGTAAGCCACGCAGCATTAACCGGTCACAGCTCGTCCTCTTCCTCCTCCGGGTGTTCCCCGATTGACGTCTGCAGATCCACAGACTCCGGGTGAACGGGTTGATGTTGCAGTGAGGAGTGCTGTACCCCTGGACTCCAACCTGTCCAACCTTTCCGCATCCTGGAACAGAGACGTGCCGCGGGTCCTCAAGCCGTTGGAAGCGATTCCACGAGCTCTGGACAATAAAACTCCTCTGCGGACAGAACAAGAATGTCACTGGAGAACGGAAATACCACCGCAGACCTCTCACCGAATGGGGACCTTCCCTGAGATCGATCCACAGAACCAACAATCATCTCATTATAATCACTGAGAGCACAATTGGAGGAGAATGCCTGGATTCAGGTTCATTGTACATGAGGGCTCGACAAATCCCAGGCACCAGAAAAACTGCTAGCATCAATACTGCACCAACACCGGAGTCCACACACTGCCTCCCACAGGCTTTTATTTCATTGCAGCCCGAGCGAGGCATCGCGCCGCACCGACAACCCCCCCCCCCCCCGCGAAACCCGAGGCATCGGGCGCACCGACAACCCCCCCCCCCCCGCAAGGCAAAACCCCCCACTGACTCCCAAACCCCCCCCCCCAAGAGGCAGCGCCGCACCGACTCCCAAACCCCCCCCCCCCCCCCACCGAGGCAACCCGCACCGACTCCCAACTGGCCCCCCCCCCCCCCCACGAGGCAACCCCGCACCGACTCCCAACCCCCCCCCCCCCCCCCCCACGAGGCAAACCCCGCACCGACTTCCCAACCCCCCCCCCCCCCACGAGGCAAACCCCCCGCACCGACTCCCAAGCAACCCCCCCCCCCCCCACGAGGCAACCCCGCACCGACTCCCACCCCCCCCCCCCCCCCCACGAGGCAACCCCGCACGACTCCCAACTCCCCACCCCCCCCCCACGAGGCAACCCCGCACCGACTTCCCAATCCCCCCCCCCCCCCCCGAGGCAACCCCCGCCCCGACTCCCAACCCCCCCCCCCCCCACGAGGCACAACCCGCACCGACTCCAACCAATCTACCCCCCCCCCCCACGAGGCAACCCCGCACCGACTCCCAACCCCCCCCCCCCCCACGAGGCAACCCCGCACCGACTCCCCAACCCCCCCCCCCACGAGGCCAAACCCCGCACCGACTCCCAACCCCCCCCCCCCCCACGAGGCAACCCCGCACCGACTCCCAACCCCCCCCCCCCCCCACGAGGCAACCCCGCAACCGACAAACCCAACCTCCCCCCCGAGGCCCCCCCACCGAGGCAACCCCGCAACCGACTCCCAAAACCCCCCCCCCCCCCCCACGAGGCAACCCCGCACCGACTTCCCAACCCCCCCCCCCCCACGAGGCAACCCCGCACCGACTCATCCCCCCAACGCGCCCCCCCCCCCCCCCCTTGACGAGGCAACCCCGCACCGACTCCCAACCCCCCCCCCCCCCCCCACGAGGCAACCCCGCCACCGACTCCCAACCCCCCCCCCCCCCCCACGAGGCAACCCCGCACCGACTCCCAACCCCCCCCCCCCCACGAGGCAACCCGCACCGACTCCCAACCCCCCCCGACAAAAACCCCGCACCGACTCCCAACCCCCCCCACGAGGCAACCCCGCACCGACTCCCAACCCCCCCCCACGAGGCAAACCCCGCACCGACTCCCAACCCCCCCCACGAGGCAACCCCGCACCGACACCCATCCCCAACCCCCCCCACGAGGCAACGCCGCACCAACACCCATCCCCAACCCCCCCCCCTGCAAGCAAAAACGTTGCACCGATTTCCCCCCCCCCATCCCCCCCGCGATAGGCATCGCCGCACCGACTCCACTTCACCACCCCCCACGAACTGACTCCCCTCCACCACCCACCACCCCCCCCACGAGCCAACGCCGCACCGACTCCACTCCAAACCCCCCGTGCCAACTCCACCACCCCCCGCGAACCGATGCTGCACCGACACCCCCACGTGAGTGATGCCGACACCCCCCTCACCCCCCCCGCAAGCCAACGCCGCACTGACACCTCCCCCCTCCCTCCCGCGAGCCAACGCCGCACTGACACCCCCCCTCCCTCCCGCGAGCCAACGCCGCACCGACACCCCCCCCTTCCCCCCCGCGAGCCAAAGCCCACACACCAACTCCTTAGAAGGGGGGAGGGGTTAAAGTGATGATCAGAACCTCTGGAGATGAAGTGGATATACTGAGCAACTTCCACCAAAAACTTCTAAGAGTCATCGGGACTCAAAACACCGACTTCGGGAAATCTTTGGTGTCGCTTTATATTTTCAGAAACCGAGGACAAGCTTCGTACAGCTTTCCTGTGCCACTGAAACACATTATATTTGACTTTTCACTGATTTTTGTGGGTTTTTCTCATTTTATTTAGAGGATAAAACATTTCCTGGAACTACGAGAACATTTCTGACCCTCAGAAGACCAAACAAGGTCAGAAATATGGGGGTGGATTTCATGGACACCCCAGCTCACAAAGCTCCCGTGTGGGACACCCCAGGCTCACAAAGCTCCCGTGGGGACACCCCCCCAGGCTCACAACGCTCCCCGTGGGGACACCCCCCAGGCTCACAACGCGCCCCGTGGGGACACCCCCCAGGCTCACAACGCTCCCGTGGGGACACCCCCCAGGCTCACAACGCTCTCCGTGGGGACACAACCCCCAGGCTCACAACGCTCCCGTGGGGACACACCCCCCAGGCTCACAAACGCTCCCGTGGGGACACCCCCCCAGGCTCACAACGCTCCCGTGGGGACACCCCCCAGGCTCACAACGCTCCCGTGGGGACAACACCCCCCAGGCTCACAACGCTCCCGTGGGGACACCCCCCAGGCTCACAACGCTCCCGTGGGGACACCCCCCAGGCTCACAACGTTCCCCGTGGGGACCAGACCCCCCAGGCTCACACAACGCTCCCGTGGGGACACCCCCCAGGCTCACAACGCTCCCGTGGGGGACACCCCCCAGGCTCACAACGCTCCCGTGGGGACACCCCCCAGGCTCACAACGCTCCCGTGGGGACACCCCCCAGGCTCACAACGCTCCCGTGGGGACACCCCCCAGGCACTCACAACGCTCCCGTGGGGACACCCCCCCCCCAGGCTCACAACGCTCCGGAGGGTCACACAGGTTCCTGAGCTAAACTTTGGCCATCAAAGACTACAGAATGGTCTCAACGGCTCCTGAGATAGGAAGCTCTCCCCTCCCCCACCCTATCAAATTCCAGAGGAGAGGGCAGTGGGGGAAGGGACACAGCAGCCTCCCAAACAAGGCCTTGTAGTAAACCTGACTCATTCACCACTTCTCGGGAATAGAGCCCCATACACAGCACAATCCTGACCGGCCATAACAATGAGGACACCAAAAATAAACAGAGCGAGGAGCAGCTGGAACTATCCGGATCAGAGCCGGACCCACAATCAGCGTGATTTACAGATCAGACGTGTTCAGTCAGACAAGTGCTGGAAGGACAGACTGGAAGATCCAAGAGCAACTCCTACATTCCTCTACAAAAGGGTCTGCCTGTCCACACGATGGAGGGATTCCCCTTCCTGGAACAATCGACCCAACAATGGAGGGATCCCCTCTTCCTGAACAACCGACCCCAACAACCATGGATGGATCCCCTCTTCCTGGAAAACAAACCGACCCAGCAATGGAGGGATCCCCTCTTCCATGAACAACCGACACACAACTAGAGACCAAACTGATGGGATCCCCCTTCCTGAACAACCGACCCAACTAGAACCAAACTGATGGATCCCCCTTCCTGAACAACCGACCCAACAATGGAGGGATCCTGTTCCTAGACAACTGACCCAACTAGAGACCAAACTGATGGGATCCCCCTTCCTGTAACAATTGACCCCAGCAACGGAGGGATGCCCCCTCCTGAACACAACCGACCGCAGCAACTGGAGGGATCCCCCTCCGTGGAACAACCGACCCAGCAAACGGAGGGATGCCCCCTCCTGAACAACCGACCCAGCAACAAAAAAAAAAAACGGGATGCCCCCTCCTGAACTTACCGACCCAGCAACGGAGGGATGCCCCCTCCTGAACAACCCCCGACCCAGCAACGAGGGATGCCCCCTCCTGAACAACCGACCCAACAACGGAGGGATGCCCCCTCCTGAACAACCGACCCAACAACGGAGGGATGCCCCCCTGAACAACCGACCCAACAACGGAGGGATGCCCCCTCCTGAACAACCGACCCAACAACGGGAGGATGCCCCCTCCTGAACAAACCGACCCAACAACGGAGGGATGCCCCCTCCTGAACAACCGACCCAACAACGAGGGATCCCCCTTCCTGAACAAACCGACCCAACAACGGAGGGATGCCCCTTCCTGAACAACCAACCCAACAATTGTAGGGATCTGAACATGGATCGCTCTTTGGAAGGCAAGGAACATGTAAAATGAGCCCTTACTGAACTATCCTGGCAATATAGCCTGAAGGGGGGAGCAATTGCGAGGTGCCAAAAATATGACCCCAACCCAAGCCAAGGTGGCGGCACACACCAACTGCCACTGCTAGAAGAGGCAACATTGCTTAGTGATAGCATCACCCACAGAAGGACCTCCCTCATTTCTGCAATGAAGCCACAGAACAGCCATTCCTCAACTAGGGCTCCTCCAGCAATCTCTCAACCTTTTTCAACACAGAGGAACCCATGAAATTTACTTTTTGGTCTCGGGGGAACCCCTGCTAAACATTACTGTATCTACAGGTCATGGTACATTTGTGTGATGGTCGGTGTGGAAGAATTGTTCCTTACACATTAAGGAATTACCCCCTTTACAGATGGATAAAAATATCTGTGTCAGCGGGGACCTGCGAGGTGGATACTGCTCTCAAGGAATCCCCTAGCAACCTCTGGAGTGAACCTTGATCTTAGGGTTCCCTGAGCTATCGTGATGGTGCCACCTTTCAGGACCAACACCAACCACTGGAGGAACCTTGGTTGAGAAACCTTGATCTAAGGGTTCCCCTGAGCTATCTGATGGTGCACCTTTCAGGACCAACACCAACCTCTGGAGGAACCCTGGTGGAGAAACCTTGATCTCAGGGTTCCCTGAGCTTATCTGATGGTGAACCTTAACAGGACAACACCAACCATCTGGAGTGAACCCTGGTGGAGAAGCCTTGATCATAAGGTACCCTTAGCTATCTGATGGTTCCC